AACGCCACAGGGCCTCCCTCCACAGTCAGAAACACTCTTAAGTACTAAGAGGTTTTGAATTCAGATGGGAGATTTTTTGGCTAGTCATCAAGTTCAAAGGAACTTTTCTAAACTACCTTTCATTCAACTAGTGTTCAAAAAATGGAAGGTTGGTGGAAATCCTCTCTTTATTCCAGTCATGATGTTCAGGTGGCCCTACACTGCCTGAAATGAAACTTGTCTCTCTCCCTTCGAGTGGGCACATGGGAGCAGGTGTTTGCTGAAGGGAAGATGGAGTTGTTTATTGCTATAGAACAGATTTAGAAACAGTGGCTGTGCTTGGGTCTGGAATTAGCACAGCTAATTTGAAAAACCATTGTCCAGAACTCACAATGTTGATAGCTATGTTCCAAGGGAAGCAATCTTGTGAGAATGTGTACCCTTGTTTAAAAAGCAGATTTGGGCCCGGCCAGTGTGGCTCAGTGGTTGAGCGCCAACCCTTATACCAAGAGCTTACTGGTTCAATTCCCCGTAAGGGCACATGCCCAGGTTGTGGGCCAAATCCCCAGTGGGGGTCATGCAGGAGACAGCCAATCTCTCTCATCGACGTTTCTGTCTCTCCCTCTTCCTTCCTCTCCCTCTAAAATCAATAAAGAAAGAGAATAAAAATAAAAAGCAGTTTGGGGCCCAGCCAGTGTGGCTTAGTGGATTGAGCATTGTCCCATGGTCTACGAAGTCCCGGTTTGATTCCTGGTCAGGGCACACGCCCAGGTTTTGGGCTCAGTCCCCAATGGGGGGCGTGCAGGAGGCAGTCGATCAGTGTGTCTCTTTCACATCAATGTTGCTATCTCCCTCTTTAAAAATATATATATATTTTTTTTACAGAAGGTACTTTATTTTATTTTTTTCATTTGTTTTTTGTTTTGTTTTGTTTTATCTTTATTGTTGAATGTATTACAGATGTTCCTCATTTTTCCCCCATTGACCTCCTCCTCCCCACTCCTGTCCCCTTCCCGCCTTTTCCCACACTGTTGTCTGTGTCCATTGGTTATGCATACAAGTTCTTTGGTTTATTTCTTCCCACCCCCAATCCCTTTCCCTTTGAGGTTTGTCACTCTAGCAACGAATTTGTACTTCTTAATCCCTTCACCTTTTTCACCCATTCCCTCCTATCTGGCAACCTACAAAATGTTCTCTGTATCTATCAGAATGTTTCTGTTCTGCCTGTTCATTTTGTTTATAGATTCAATTGTCGATAGATATGTATTCATTGCCATTTTATTTGTTCATATAGTTTATCTTTTTCTTCACAAAGACCCTTCATCATTTCATATAATAACGGTTTGGTGGTGATGAACTCCTTTAACTTTTTCTTGTCTGGGAAACTCTATATGGCCATCCATTCTAAATTATAGCTTTGCAGGATAGAGTAATCTTGGTTGTAGGTTCTTGCTTTTCATCACTCTGAATATTTCTTGCCACTCCCTTCTGGCCTGCAAAGTTTCTTTTGAGAAATCAGCTGACAGTCTATGGGAACTCCCTTGTAGGTAACTAGCTGCCTTTCTCTTGCTGCTTTTAAGATTCTCTCTTTGTCTTGAACCTTTTGCATTTTGATGATGATGTGTCTTGGTGTGGGCCTCTTGGGGTTCCTCTTGTTTGGGACTCACTGTGCTTCCTGGACTTGTATGTCTGTTTCCTTCACCAAGATAGGAAAGTTTTCTGCCATTATTGTTTCAAATAGGTTTTCGATTTCTTGTTGTCTCTCTTCTCCTTCTGGCATCCCCAAGATGCGAATGTTGGCACACGTGACGTTGGCCCAGAGGCTCCTTACACTATTCTCATTTTTTTGGATTCTTTTTTCGTTTTGCTGTTCTGATTGGGTGTTTTTTGCTTTCTTATATTCCAAATCGATGGTTTGCTTCTTGGCTTTACCTACTCTACTATTGAATCTGTGTAAATTATTCTTTATTTTAATTAGTGCCTCCTTCATTTCTGACTGGTCTTTTTTTATGCTCTTGAGGCCCTCACTAAGTTCACTGAGGTTCTCACTAAGTTCATTGAGCATTCTTATAAGCAGTATTTTGAACTCAGCATCTGTTAGGTTGCTTATCTCCATTTCGCTTAGTTCTTTTCCTGGAGACTTCTTCTGTTCTTTCATTTGGGACCTGTTTCTTTGTCTCCTCATTTTGGCTGCTTCCCTGTGTTTGTTTCTATGTATTACTTAATGAGAGGTATGGGGCTAGCTGAGATCAGATGCTGCTTGTTTGAAAGAATTTAGGAAAACCTGAAGCAGGATCTAAGACAGGCCAATCCTATGGTTAAGTAAATTGGCAACAGCTTGGGTGGGCCTGAAAGTTGGGTGGGGCAGGGCCTCAGGGAATCACCGGGGCGGGGCTACCAGTGTGAGCCAGGTTGCTGGAGTCCCAGATGTGGCGGCTGTCTGCCACCCCAGGGAAGGGCTCACCAAAGGAACAAAGGCCTCTGACAGAACATCTGTCCTGGAGAAAGCCTCCTCTCCAGCCCTCGCTCCAGTGCCAAACAGCTCAGTTCTTCCCTGTATGTCGCTGGCGCCCCTTGAGCTGCCTCCCCTCCAAGCTTAGAGGGAGCAAGTCCGATAAGTCCATTTGCGGGCCCTTTAAGGAGCTGCCTGGGGCTCTAGCCGCCTCAGCCTCCCTGAGCCTCAGTTCCTGCTGGTTTTTCCAGCCAGAAGTTATGGGGACTCTCTTCCTGGCACTGGAACCCTAAGCAGGGCACCTGGTGTGGGATGGGGACCCCTCAGTCCTCAGGGAGGACCTTCCCAGCCGAGGTGTCCTCCTGATTTATATCCGCCACACGTGGATGTGGGGCCAGCCCCTCTGCCTCCACCCCTCCTACCAGAATTGATGTGGCTGCTGCTTTAATTCCGTAGTTGTAGGACTTCCATTCAGCTTGATTTCAGGCGGTTTTGAATGATGGTTGTCTATAGTTTAGTTGTAACTTTGATGTGGTTGTGGGAGGACGGATACCGCATTTACCTACACCGCCATCTTGACCAGAAGTCAAAAAATATACATTTTATAAAAGCGGGTTTGGGGCCCTGGCTAGTGTGTCTCCGGTGTGGCTCAGTGATGAGAGCATTGGCCTGAGGACCAAAGGGTCGCAGGTTTGACTCCCCAGCAAAGACATGTACCTGAGTTGCAGGTTTGATCCCTAGACCCCGTTGGGGTCAAGAGGGAGGCAACCAATCGATGTGTTTCTCTCTGTCTCTGTCTCTGTCTCTGTCTCCCTCCCACTCTATCTAAAAACAAAAATCAATGGGAAAATATCCTTGGGTGAGGATTAACCAAAAAATAAATAAATAAAAAGCAGGTTTTGGGGCCCTGGAGGGTCGTGGGTTTAACTCCCAGTCAAGGGCATGTACTTTAACTCCCAGTCAAGGGTTGCAGGTTCAACTCCCAGTTCCAGTCAGGGTACGAGTGGGAGGCAACCAATTGATGTGTCTCTCTCACATCAATGTTTCTCTTCTACCCCCACCCCCGCTCCATTCCGCCTTTCCACACTCTAAACATAAATCAATGGAACAAATATCCTCAGGTAAGGATTAACGACAACATAAAAAGCATATTTGGGGTATTCTTTTTTCATGTTTTTATTTTTTTAGAGAAAGAGGAAGGGAGAGGGGGAGAAACATTTGATGAGAAGCATCAGTCTGCTGCCTCCTGCCGCCCCCTACTGGAGATCAAACCTGCAACCTCTCAGTACGTGGGACAGTGCTCAACCCAACGGAGCCACACAGGCCATGGTGGGGTATTATAATTATTATTATTATTATTTTTTTTAATCCTCATCCGAGGACATTTTTCCATTTTTTGTACAGACAGTGTGGGAGGGAGGGAGAGGGAAGAGAGAGAGAGGGAAACATCGATGTGAAAGGGACACATCGAGTGGCTGCCACCCGCACGACCAACCAGGGCCGGGGACAAACTGCAACCGAGGTACATGCCCTTAGCGGGAACCGAACCCGGGTCTCTCCAGACCACAGGCGGACGCTCTAACCGCTGAGCCAAACCAGCCAGGGCAGTACTATAATTCTTAATCCCTTCTCCCTGCTCTGGTTACAGCTCTGGGCTGGGAAGATCCTGCAAGCTCACTGGATTCCCCAGAACCAAAGAATGAGGGCAAGAGAACTCGGTCCCAATTCTTCTCGGTCCCATTAAAAATGAGGAGGGGAAAAAAGGTGAAGGGAGGGTGGTAAAGGTACCTACCTTAGGTCCCTTCCCACTTTAAACAATGAAGCTTAAAGCTCTTGGCTGAAGCCCTGGCCAGTTTTGCTCAGTGGTTAGTGTCAGCCTGCAGACCAGAGTCATAAGTTCGATTTCTCCTCAGTTGTGGGTTTGATTCCTAGCCCAGGTCGGGGTCATGTGGGAGGCAACCAATTGATGTGTCTCACATCTATGTCTCTCCCACTCTTATATGGGGGGGCGGGGGGGAATTAATGGAAAATATATATGTCCTCAAGTGAGGACTGAAAAAAAAAAAAAGACGATGTTGGCTGAAGACCCTAAACCAAGCATGGTAACCACATGGCATCTGTGCTCCGTTTCCCTGTCCTGTATCCAAGGCAGACGTTCAGGCTTCACTCTTCCCCTCTGAGCTCAGGACGCCCCTTCTCAACAGAGTCTTCCTGATAGTTACCATCTGATTGGCGTTTCATACCAGAGGGAACTCACTGCCATACCTGTGGTAATCCCCCGAGTAAGGCATGCACCCAACGGGAACAGCAATGTGTACCGACAGATCAAATGAACTGAAAACAAGGATATAGATGACCTAAATAACAAGTGAAAAGGTATATTTATGAATGTATCTCCCCTCTCACCTTATCCAATAGTGGTACCAGCTCTGCCTGAGCTGCCCATGAACAGCACTGGGAGCATTCAGTCTCATGGATAGTCACTTTTATTGAGAACAGTAGTTTTAGGAACAAACCACAAAAATAATTCTTTCTTTGGACTAGTTTCTGTGATCTTACAGTGAGGAGCCTAGAGTGTGGGTGGCCCCCTATCTCCAGACCGATCAATGACCTTCTGGATCCACTTCTTCAGGCGGAACACGTGTGTGTAGAAGCCATATTTCCCATCCCTGTCACAGCCTTCACCCCACGAGACGATGCCCATTTGATACCAGCGGTGGTTAAAGGGGCTCTGAGGAAGAAACATGGGGTCTTCAATAGTCAAGTCCAAGGTATTGTCAGCATTACCCTACCAGGTAACTATTTCTGAGCACTGGGGATCCCTCCTTACCCACCCCATTGGGAGGTCTACCCACCAGCTCCAGGCCTTTAGAGAAGCTAGCTTACCTTCATGACAAAGGGTCCCCCACTGTCACCTTCACAAGAATCCCCTCGTTTCCCTTCCTCAGGCTTGTAACCTTGAGAGAAAACAGCAGAATTCAGGAGCATAGCTCATGGTCCAGCCCCTCCAGGAGACACACCGATGAGTGTCCCCTTGACCCCTTCTGGTCATCTTGACTCTTCTCACTGCCTCGCCCCCACACCAATTCTTCTGCAAATCTTGTCAGCTCTCAACATACACGTATCCCAAATCCAACCATTTCTCACTGCTTCTACCCCTGGTCACATCACATGTACCTTGACGCAGAACTAATCTGCTTTTGCCCACCTACAATCAGTTTTCCATCCAACAAGCAGAAGGACGTAAAAGACGTTAGACTTGACCCCTTCGCCTCCAGGTCGTGGAGCAGCCTCCTATGGTCTCTGTGGCCTAACACCCCTATTCCCGCCACTCATGACCACGCGCCTAGGCCCATGAGGGGTCTCCACCGAGGTTTCCACCTGTCCACGAGCAAAAACATGGCAGCCGTCCCCTCCAGCGGCTCACTCGTGGCCACTCACAACTACTTCTACTGCCGTCTGAGTTCCACTTCCAGTAACAGCTCCTACGGAAGCACGGAGTACCGTCACTGCCCCCCCAGCCTAGTCTCCCCAAGGCTGACCCAGGTCACTGGTGGGTAAGCTTCTTTATTGGGAAGTCTGCTCTCCCAGGCACGGCCACAGTGTTGGAGTCCCTAGAGCACTCGGAATCTCCCCAGGCCTCCAGCAGCATGATCACCTGTGCCCTGGTCGGGAAGCCACAAGGAAGCAGCCTAGCCCTGCAGGGCCAACGCTGGGCCCCCATCCTGAGTGGCCACCTCCAGCCGCCAGGCTTCCAGAGGCGCGAGGTGCTAGGCTCTTTGAGCCCCCCCTCTCCCTCTATCCCTTTCCCCTTTTCTCATCCCACCCCATCAACTAGGCAGATGGCAGCAAGCAGAGCAGTTAGGTTATTTTATATGAAAGCAGCAAAACACCAAAAAGGAAGTTGAGAGAGCCCCACTCTTTACTACCCAAGCTACACTCGAGCCTTTCTGGCACCCCATGACTACGCGCCTTGCACCAAGTGGAAAATAAATGACAAGCAGCCAGCAAAATATATATATATATATATGTTAGACTTACAGGTAGCTGAGGACAGTAGTGGACAGTGGAGGCTGCCTTTATCCAAATCTCCCACATATCCTCCACAAACAATGCAGAACAACTTGAACAGCAGAAGCTACACAAAAACTCACACCTTCAACATAACTACACTACAGAGAACACCCAAACTTCAAATCAACCTAGTCTATCTAATTGTGCACCTAATACCAAAACTTATGTGGAGATGAGGATGGGATAAAAAAGTGAGTGTAATTGAAATGTAAGCCCAATTGAAATATAAATTCTTGTAAATAACCCCAGATCTACACAATGAATAGACACTATAGGGAAACAAAAAATAAGTATAAAAACACCACCCTGGCCAGTTTGGCTCAGCAGTTAGAGCGTCAGCCTGAAGACCAAAGGGTCGCAGGTTCAAGTCTGGTCAAGGGTGCGTACCTGGTCGGGGTCATGTAGGAAGCAACCAATCAATGTGTCTCATATTAATGTTTCTCTTTCTCTCCCCCTCTCTTCTACTCTATCTAATAAATCAGTGTAGCCCCACCAGTGTGGCTCAATGGAATGAGCATTGTCCCATGGACTGAGAAGTCCTGGTTCGATTCCTGGTCAGGGCACATGCCCAAGTTTCAGGCTTAGTCCCCAGTATGGGGCATGCAGGAGGTAGCCGATCAATGCTTCTCTCTCACATCGATGTTTCTATTTCTCCCTTCCTCTCTCTAAAAGAAATCAATAAAAACATTTAAAAAGGTAAAAATAAATTTAAAAATCATTGTAAAAATATCCTCCAGTAAGGATTAATAACAACAACAAAGAATAAAAACACCTTAGTTAATTAAAATTCTCCCCCAAGTCCGGTTGAGTGTCGACCCATGCACCAAGAGTTCGCTGGTTCAATTCCTGGTAGGACACGTGCCCAGGTTGTGGGCCGGATCCCCAGTGCAGGGCATGCAGGAGGCGGCCAATCAATGTTCTCTCTCATCGATGTTTCTATCTCTCTCCCTCTCCCTTCCTCTCTCTCTAAAATCAATAAAGGAAAAAAAATTTTTTAATAAAATAAAATTCTCCCCCAAAATACAACCATGAAACAGAATAAAAGTAACTGAATTAAATTTCCTAAAGTTTTTGGAATGTGACAAAACACCTTGACTCACAAATTCCAAAATTTAAAATAAATGGACAAAACAATAAGAAAAGATGATTGAAATGGAACTGAGACCAAAGAAGAAATTTGGGTCCCTCAAGAAGAACAAAGCAATAAAAAAGAATTAATAGTTAGAATATCCAACAAAACGTCACAGAAATAAAAGAAGAACATATATACTGAAAGGCCCACTGGATACCTGACAACACTGACCTGAAACACTCAACTCTGAGACACACCCTAGTCAAACTGTTAGACCTCAAAGATGAAGAAAAACCCTCAAAGCCTCTGAGCAAAAAGACCAAATACTTTACCGGTTCCAAAGGATCACACTGACATCAGACTTTCAAAAACAACATACAAAGCAAGCAACAATAAAGCCACATTTTCAAAAAATTCAATGAAGGGAAATGTGAACCGTGAATTTGATGTGCTGACTGCCAGGTGTCATGGCTACAGGTAAACAATCATGTAAGAACTCAGGAACTTCCACACTCAAACCCCTTCTCGAAGAATCTACTAGCAGACGAGCTTCATCCGACCAAGAGATGAATGCTTCAGCGAAAGGACTAACTGTTCTGATGAGTAGGAAAAAATGTAGCTAAAAATGAGAGAAGGGAAAGGAACGGAAACTCACTGACGTTAATAGCCTAGAGTGGGAGTTACAATTAAAAGGTGATATAAGAAAGGAACTGAGGGCATTTCAAACAGGTGTAAGTCCAAAGATAATCAGTAGAACAAGGATGTAAACCTTCCTAAATATATATTTTCTTAAAAGATCACATAGGGGAAAACATAGAAAATGAAATGTACTACACGTAAATATTACAAAATAAGTTAATACTAATTTAATCATATCAATATATATATATGAATGGTCTTAACTCATTTACTACAAATGAAAAAGATTTTTTTTTTTTTATCCTCACCTGAGGATATTTTTCCATATTTTGTACAGATAGAGTGGGAGGGAGAGAGAGGAAGGGAGAGAGAGAGAGAAACATCGACGTGAAGGGACACATCGAGTGGCTGCCACCCGCACGACCAACCAGGGCCGGGGACAAACTGCAACCGAAGTACGTGCCCTTAGCGGGAACCGAACCCGGGTCTCTCTGGACCGCAGGCCGACGCTCTAACTGCTGAGCCAAACCGGCCAGGGCGAAAAAGATTTTAATTTGACTCACAATGCAAGACTCAACTATGCTAAATATAACTAATAAAGGGATTCATAAAGGCTAAAATTAAAGCAATGGGCAAAGGTATATCAGGCCAATGGAAATAAAATGAGAACAAGGATAGCAATCCTAAAATTGAAAATAAAGGACACATTTAAAGCCAAAGCCACAATTTACAATGAATAAGTAGCAGTTATGAATATCTGCACCAAATAACACAGCAACCACATTTATAAAGTAAATGAACTATAAGCAATGCAAGGAGACAGACAGAAAAACAGTTATAATAGAATTTAAAATTCTTTTTCAATGAGAGAGAACATCGATTGGCCACCTCCTGCATGCCCCACACTGGGGATTTGATCCACAACCTGGGCATGTGCTCTGACCAGTAATCGAACTGGCGACCTCTTGGTGCATGGGTTGACACTCAACCACTGAGCCACACCAGCCAGGTTATAATAGAATTTAACACACTAAACTCAGTACAAGACAGATCAAATGAACTGAAAATAAATAAGGATATAAATGATGTAAATAACAAACGATAAAGTTCATTTATGAATATATATTAAACGGCACATGCAAAATAGATAATACGACTATACACCTCAAACACACAGGTAATAATAGTCACAGAAATTAATCTAACATCTCTGTCTCAAAAAATAAAATAAAAATCAGTTCCATAAAGCAGAAATACTGCAAACAATACTCTCAGATTGTAATGCAGCAAAACTCAAAATAATTAACAAAATCAAAATTAAAAAGGCCTCGCCCATCTGTAAATTAAACAACTTGGGTGAAAGAGAAATACACAAAAAATAATAAAATACTACAGAGTGTTTTCTATAAAGAGGAAAAATGCACAGCCCTATTCAATAAAAAATTAAAGCTCAAAAAGAAATTAACCAAATAGTCTTCTTAAAAGGCTAGAGTCTAGCCAGTGTGGCTCAGTGGATTGAGCATTATCCCAGGGACACAGGAAAAAATGCTCAGTGTCACTAATCATCAGAGAGATGCAAATTAAAACAACAATGAGGTATCACCTCACACCTATCAGAATGGCCTCCATCAACAAATCATCAAACAACAAGTGTTGGAGAGGGTGTGGAGAAAAGGGGACTCTAGTGCACTGCTGGTGGGAATGCAGACTGGTGTAGCCACTATGGAAAACAGTATGGTGTTACCTCAAAAAGTTAAAAATTGAACACCAATCAGAAAGAATATATGTACCCCTATGTTCATAACAGCACTATTTACAGTAAGATCTGGAAACAGCCTAAGTGTCCATCAGTAGATGAGTGGATAAAAAAGCTGTGGTACTATATATACACAATGGAATACTATGCAGCTGTAAGAAAGAAATTTTCCTTTGAGATGACATGGAGGGACCTGGAAAGTATTATCCTAAGTGAAACAAGCCAATCAGAGAAAGACAATTATCACATGATCTCACTAATTTGTGGTATATAATAAACAAAACAAACTGATGAACAAAATAGACTCAGAAATATAGTAGTAGGGTACAGACTGACAAACCTCAGAAAAGGAGTCCGGGGGAGGGGAGGGAAGAGATAAACCACAGAACTTATATGCATGTATGCATAACCATGGA